CGGCGACTGGAGCAAGGCCGGGGAGGGAGATGCCCGAGCGAGGGGCCGCCCCTATCGGCTTCCGTTGGCGGAAGTGCGCCGGGAGGGGCGGAAGTGACGGAGGCGGCCCGGAGGGCAGTGCGCGGCCGGGAAGGGCCGCTCTCGGCAGGAGCCTCCCCGGCAGGAGCGTCGTGCGCCGGTCTCCGGTGGGCCTTCCTTCCTTCCTTCCTTCCGCCTTGGGGGTGAGTAGCGCTGGGGCTGCCCGGCCGGGGACCCCCCCCACCTCCCTCCGGGCTGACCCGGCCCTCTCCGCCTCTCAGCAGCCTGGCGGCGGCAGGATGACACCATGCTCCCCGACAGCCTCCTGTACGAGATCTTCCGCTATCTAGAGCCCCCGGACGTGCTCTCCGCGGGGCGCGTGTGCCGGCAGTGGCGCTCGGTGGCCCGGGACGAGGTCCTGTGGAAGGAGCTCTTTTACCGGTACTACGGGGTAGCCCGGGACGTCCCGCGACACCCAGGTAGGGCCTCCCGGGCGCCCGGAGCGGCCTTCCCCAAAGCGGGGGGGGGGTTAATACGGCTTTCCAAAGGGGAGGGAGGAGGAGAAGCTCTGCCCCCCCCCGTTGTAGCCCTGGATGCATCCCAGCCCGAGGGCCCGGCCCTTCCGCCCGGGAAGGCGGTTCGGGTTCTGGCCCTCGCTCCGCTGCCAGAGGGGCCCGATCCTGCCCCGAAGGGACGCGTTTGCGAGCTCGGGGGATCCCGTAGGAGGTTAGATGGGGGGGCCGTTCTCTGCCCTGCTTGGATGGGCTTTCCTTCCTGCGGACGGAAAGTGGCCCGTCATCCGCACAGCCACCATCTACAGCCGGGACCGCAGGGCATGCACAAAGCCGGTGCAGGCTCCAGGTCTGTGTCAGGGTTGCACGAACCCCTTTCCTTTCCTTTCCTTTCCTTTCCTTTCCTTTCCTTTCCTTTCCTTTCCTTTCCTTTCCTTTCCTTCTCCAGCTGCCGCCTCTTGGTACGGGGAGTTCCAGCGACTCTACGACACCATCCCCTGCGTTGAAGTGCAGAGCCTGAAAGAGCATGGGGACCAGGTCCTCCACCTCAGCTTCTCCCACAACGGCTACCTGTTTGCCTCCTGTTCCAAGGATTGCACCGTCAAGGTCAGGGGGAGGGGTAGATGACCCTGAGAATGACCATTTCGGGGGATGGGATGGGATAGGGATGGGGAAAGAGTATCCGCTGCCAGGCTGGGATCCCCATTTAGCCACAGCGTTCACCAGCTGGCCAACCTGGTTATTGCTCTTGGCCAACTTCACAGATTGGTTGAGAGGATAATGTGGGGAGGAGAAAAGCTTCATGGAGGAAATAGGAAATCGTTTTTAAAAGTCTGGTAAAACATCTCGCAAAAAATCTGGTATGTTCTGCCTTTTAAATAATCATCCATCGTTTAAGTCAGGGTCATGCGACACGTCATTCAAAATAAATAAAGAAAAATGGTGCTGGGAAGGACTGGCGTGGCATTCACCCCCAGCTTCTGATGGTCTTGCTAAGGCTGTAGCTTCCTTGGGAATCAGCCTCACTGAACCCAGAAGACTTTGTGTCTGAACTGTGGTGGGTAGAATGGTGCTGTCAGTCACTTTTCCGGCTTTGGAAGTAACAATTGGCCATCTCACTCTCGCTCCTGTTTGCACTGAGAAGTATTAGTGACTTCCCTGCTGTTGTTTTTAAAAAGCTGTGGGCCTGCAGCCTTAGGGAACTTAATTTTGCAGCCACTCCAACATTGCTTGGCTTGCATAGACACAAAGCCCCTAAAAACGGGTGGGGTCTGCAGTCAGGTCTTGACAGCCCTGTTCCTCCTCCTCCTCTTCCTCCTCACTGGCTACAGATCTGGCACAACGATCTCCAGGTCTCACTGCTGCATAGCACCAGCATGAAGAAATACAACTGGAGCTACACTCAGTTCTCGCAGTTCAACGCAGATGACTCCCTCCTCTTGGTCTCCGGAGTTTTTATGGGCCCCCGTACCTCCTCGTCTGGGGAGATTGCAGTCATCAGCCTGGGTAAAGAGATCTTGCAGGGTGGACCTTTGCGAACTTTCTGGAGCTGGAGTCCTACTCAGAAGTTGGGGCACCTGAACGTTCCATGGGGCAGAGCCAACAAGCTGCTGCTCGAAGCCAAATGGCTTCCTTAGCCAAGGCTGCTGGAGGATGGTGGAACCGCTGCGAGTGTTTTGCCAAGCAGCACCCTCACCCAAACCCCGGGCTGCAGGGCAGGCTGGGGAGGACTTGAATTGCCCTCCCCTTTCCTGGCAGTGTGACATCTGGGAGAGTTTCCCCAGAAGCTGAGCCCGAGGACCACACCCCTTCAGCTCATCCCAGTCCAGGAGCAGAAAGTTAGAGAAGAGCTTGGCGGATTTTTTCTTTTGCTTTGCTTGTTCCCGTGGCTCAACTACTTTTTTGAGAGCTTTCCCCAAACCTAGAAGAGCAGGTTTAAGACTTGGGTCTGCTGGCTGCCATTGATGGGGCGGGATAGCGGTCAAGGGGTCCCTTCCTGTGCGCTCTGGCAGAGGGGGTGGATCCTGGGTGCTGGGTAGTGAGAGAAGGGAGAAAGAGTTCCCATCCTTCAACATTTTGATGTGCTGGCATAACACATTTAGTGCTCCTCGAGCACTTGGCAGGTGCTCCTTCTGGGCTTGAGGATGTCCCTGGAGCAAGGAGGCCTTTTGAGTCCCTTCCATTCTTGTTTTAGAGAACTTTGAACTCCTGTCCCGAGTCCGCAATAAGCCTTATGATGTGTTTGGCTGCTGGCTCAACGAGACCAACCTGATTTCCAGCAATCTGCACCGCATCGGGTACCTCACTTCCTGCTCTGTGTTGTGGCTGAACAATGCCTTCCAGGTGAACCAGAGCTTCCACCCTTTGGGGACGTGGGGTGGGGGAGCTCCAGGCCTTGACTTCCCAACTCTGTTTGCTTCTCCACTCACAGGGCGTCGAGTCTGAGAATGTCAACGTGGTGAAACGGCTCTTCAAAATCCAGAATCTGAACGCCAGCACCATCCGGACAGTCATGGTGGTGGACTGCAGCCGCTACGACTCCGCTGACGGGCCACTGAGCGCTGGAGAGCAGATGGGGGACGACCCTGCTGCTCCCTGCAAGGAGAGCAACAGTGAGGAGACGGAGGAGGAGACGCCCGAGCCAAGCGGTTTCCCAGTGGCCAAAGGCGAGGCAGGGGCCGAAAATGGGCTGGACCGCTTCCTGAGCGACATCATTGCGGGACACGTCCGGCCAATTATGACGGAGATGGAGATGGAGACGAAAGTGGCCCAGCTCCTGGCCCAGAACAGGACAAAGCCCCCGGAGCCCAACCTGCTCTCCCTGCAGGGTGGAAACAAGAAATACTTGATCTTCACCACTGGCTGTCTCACCTACTCCCCACACCAGATTGGTAAGGGACCTGGGTGCCCTTTTCCTTGGTGCTGGAGGAAGTGGTTGTTGAAGGAGCAGTGGCTATTAGCGACCATCATTCTATGAAACCTCTAACCTCAGGGATAGTCTACCAGACTCTGGGGATGCACAATAGGAAGGCTAATTGCCCCGCGGTAGAAGCGGAAGGCCTGCCTCGACAGCCTTTGCCTCTTGACCTGACTGAGGGGGGTAAAACAGGCTTGTCCCTGCCCCGTGAGACCTCGGAGGCTGGCTGACAACGTGCCTCCCCCTTTTCTCCCCTCTTGCTTCCCCCCCAGGAATTAAGCAGGTCCTTCCCCACCAAATGACAACCGCAGGGCCTGTTCTAGGAGAGGAGAGGAATTCGGACAAGTTTTTTGATTCACTGGATCACGTCATAGATATTCACGGGCACATTATTGGCATGGGGCTCTCCCCAGACCACAGGTAGGGAATGCTGCTGACGACATCTATCAAAAACAGAGAAATTGGGGGTGGGCTGGGGACAGGATGACATGATGCCTCAGCTCAGTGGCAAAAGACCTTCAGGGGCCCTCACAGGCAGGAAAGCACAGATTCTTAGCTCCTCTGTGGCAGGGTTGGGGAAGCTCGTGCTGGGCAGATACTGGCAGCTGGAAGAGTCTCGGCAGAGCCAGAGGGACCAGTGGCTGTGCCCTGCGGAAGGCAGCTGGTGTGGGGCTGGCTGTGTTGGAGGTGCCCCCCCCCAAAGATTCCCAGGTGTCAGGCCAACAGGAGCCCCCATCGCCCGGCTTCCCAGCTCCCGTCTTGCCTTCCACGAGGCCCCTCTCTCCCTGCCCTCTCCAGGTACTTGTATGTCAACAGCCGCGCTTGGCCCGAGGACTGCATCATTTCCGATCCTTTGCAGCCGCCCCCCATCGCTGAGGAGATTGAGCTGCGTGTGGTGGACCTCAAGACCATGAAGGAAGCCAAGCGGGCATTGCGGGCCCACCGGGCTTACACACCCAGCGAAGAGTTCAACTTCATTTTCCTAGACGTCAGCAGGGACTTTGTGGCCAGGTGAGGAGCCCCACCGGGGGCCTGGCCCTTCTTGCTCTCTCCTGCTCAACGAAGGCTCCTTAGCAGAGGGGTAGGATCACTGGGCTGCAGGAGGGTGGCTTTACTCTCAGCCAGGGGTGAGGGGGGCCTTGTGTCCCCTCCCCGTGGCCAGGTTAAACTGTTAAGAGGCCTTTTTTGGGAAGCTGGTGCAGAGCCCTTGTGCGATGATCACAGATGTTTCTTAGCTGTAAATGCCAAGAGTCACAGGTTTTTGTTTTCACACCTAAATGGGGGGAGTATCAGCTCCCTTCCCTCAGCACAAATCCTGCCTTTGTTGGCCCTTTACATACCTGCATTTATTTTATTTTATGTTTTATTTTTTTCTTATTTATTTATTGTATTTATATAGCCGCCCATTTGACGTAAAAGTGACTCTGGGTGGCATACAACAATTAAAAAGAATAAATACATAAAAAAACCATTAGAAGTAAAAATAACTATAAAAGCACACAAAACAGGAGGGGATGATATTAATAAGGGAGCCATCGCAAAATCTCCCTGGTCCCCTGGAACTCTTTTGTGCAGAAAACTTGTCCTGCCTCTTGTACGAGTTGAAGCTACAATTCTCCCCCCCCAGAAAAACACCCCCCAACCGAAAAGGGGGACCACACCTGGTATGTAACTTTATACTGTCAATACAGATTTAAGGAAGAAATTAAAAATTGGCTGGAATGTGGGCATTTTCCTATATTGTAACTGGATACCTTAATTTATGGCTTCCTGAACTCATACCAGCTGTTGTCCCACTTGAGGGCTTTTTCGCAGTCTGTGGCTGTGATAATCCCAGAGCGCCTCCTCAGCCTTGGCCGATGGCCATCCACCTGTCTCTGTCTCCATGCAGCGGGGCTGAGGATCGCCACGGGTACATCTGGGACCGGCACTATGACATCTGCTTGGCCAAACTGCAGCATGACGACGTGGTCAACTCTGTGGCCTTCAGCCCCGTGGAACAGGAGCTCCTCGTGACAGCCAGTGCCGACAGCACCATCAAAGTGTGGCGCTCTCCCCGCACCGTGCGGGTCCTTCAGGCCGAGAAGCCCCGGCTTCGTAGACGTCTCTTCTCCTGGGCCACGAAGCAGAGAACGTGAGCCAGGCAGGGCGTGCTGCTTCGGGCCGGCAGGGCCAACTTCTGGCAAGCGACTGGCCTGTCCCCCTGACCTTCACAGATGCCCTGCTTGGGGTGAGGCCTGGAAGAAGATGCACCAAAGAACGGAGCTGCAGGCTGGCTGGTGCCCGTTTGAGCAGCGCGGAAGATTTGGCTGAGAGCCTGCTTGCAGAAGGGCCAGAAACCTCTGGGGAGGCTTCTCCCCCATCCTGCAGGCTGAAATGTTTACATAGGATGCTGGCAACCCTCTGGTGTGTCTCCTGGGCCTTGAACCAGGACCAGCACAAATTGAGCCAGGAAACTCAATTTTAACCCTGCTGAATTTCTGCTCAGTAGGGAGGTGAGAGAAAAAGCAGAATAGCAATGTAGTCTTTCTTGTGGCTGGTGCACTGCGCTGGAGCTCCCTCAGTGCCTCTGCTCCATTCAGAATGGTCTTATTGATGCTTGGCGTGGCGGGGAGGGCCCCTTCAAAGGTTTGGAGCTGCGGCCTGCTGGAGCCCCTGGGAAGGAGCACACATGCACCCCTACCCTTGGCTTGAGGGGGATTACCCCCCTCTGGAGGTTCTTCCATGTTGCCTGCAAGGTGGTACATTTTCTTTGGGGGGGGGTGCTAGATATGAAGACACAACCAGTGTGAATAGCACTGGTGGGTAACACTGAGATGCCGGTAAAGCTTTGTGAAGTAGAAAGGTGTCCAAGTGTGTGGTGTATGTGGAAAGGTGTTCTGACCCCTGGAGATGCAGCTCTGGAATTAGCCCTCACCTCTGCTCAAGAATGTGTTTGGGGGGGGGGTCAGGCAGCTTCCAGCTCCCACCAACCTTGGATACCTGGCACAGCATGGCTTGGTCTTAATAAACTTTGCTTGAGTTGCTGCTCCTGTTTGAGCATCTTTGCAAACTGCTTGCAGGGGGGCTTCGATTGACTAAGGCCCAGGATGGGCAATGAACTGAACAGGGTGGCTTTGCCTCCGAGAAGGCACATGGAGGACTGCTCTTCTGCAGGGTGCCCCTTGGAGCTGCCCATAAATGGTGGGGCTGTGAAGCTGGGGACAAGTCAAGAGGAGCTTATGGGCACAACCACCCTGGGCCTGCTGCTTGGCAACCCAGTACCGAGGGGGGAAGACCTCCTCTCCTTAAATATGAGCAAAGCACAATTCGCCTCTATGACATTTTATTCGACTTTCGCACCTGCCCAGGGAAGACCACTTTCAGTGTTACAATCAAAATCCGCTCTCTCTCTCCCCCCGCGGGAGATCTTGCTTCTCCCCCAAGGAGCCCCTTTGCTCAGCTTCCTGCGCCCCCGCAGTAGGGAGCCGGACCTCCAAGCAAGATATCGGCCCTCCCGCTACAGGTGCCCCGACAAGAGGAGCCGCTCCTGTGGCCCGACCTTGGGCTCTGGCATGCAGGACTGTATAGGAGCACACGCGGCCCTGCCAAGCACCAGCTGCTGAAGGCACCACGAACTCTGCCAGAATTGGGCCTCATCCAGAAGCAAAAAAAGTGGCAACTTCATTAACTCCAGAGAAGGCACAGCTCTGCATGACGGGCGCCTGGATGTCCTACAGCACTGGGAAGGCCTTGCATTTCTCTCCCCCAGAACAGGTGCTGCAAAGGGGCTGAAGCTGCTGAAGGAGGGAAGAGGCTTGTCTCACCCCATCGCACCCCCAGGAAGGGGGAGGTCAACATGCCAACTGTCCATGCTGCCAGCCTGGCTGGAGGATGGAGCGCACACCCCTCCGTACACCAGTTCCTGCCAACCCACAGCCAGCCCCCAGCAGCCAAGCAACACGTGTGCTTCTCTCTTGTGTGCACGTGAGTGGGGGGCCACTGATTCCCCCTCCCCGTGGGCTTGCTGTTCCTCTTTAACGTAGCCAGGGTCTGCCTAAACCAGGCTCCTTGATCAAAGGTGCCCAACAGCTTCCTTACTCTCTTCTGGGGAAGCCCCGGGCTGCCACCTCCCCCGCCTATCCAGGCCTCCTCATTGCTGCCTGCAGCGGTTTAGGGAAGAGGGTGCTTGAAAGAGCCAAGGTGTGAAGCAATTTCCCCCTGCTCTTGTTGGGAAACCCTGGAGGAAGGTCCTCTCCCCACCCCAGCTTAACCTCTGCCCACAAACTCTTGTGTTCCCTCTCAGCTGGCATGCCTTCTCTGGCAACTGCCCACCCGCAGAGAAAGAGATTGGGGTAAGAAGAGTTGTTTGGGGGCTGAAAACACATGCAGGACAGGAGCAGCTCAGCTGCCAGCACCCAGCACCCCCCCACCCCCCAAATCTCCTTCACCGGGCTCTGCCAGACTGCCTGGAACAGCTGCTAGAGCTTTGTTTGGGTGTCCAGCCACTCTCAGTTCCGCTTCTGGCCTGGACAGCACCCCCCACCAGTCCGCCCAACAGCAATCCAACCCCCAGAGAAATGCAGACTCGGCAGGCAGGGGAGAATCCAAAGAGCATGTTGGAACCAGGAGAGGCCCCTCCTCAGGACCCATCTGTCCTTCAAAACAGCACCTCACTAAAGGGCCTCCCCAGACCATGGGGCACTTCCAGGGCCAAGAGAAGGTCTGGCAGGCCCTCACTACCCTGGGGGCATCTCGCCTGCTGCCCCATGTGGCCATCCAGCCCCCACAGGGGGCAGCTCTGCGCTCCAAGACCCCAGCGGGCAATGTGTTAGAGGCCCGTGAGGTCTACAATGGCTTTAATGAAGATGGTGTCATCACGCACATAGGAGTTCTTGGTCTCCATCTTGGAGATGGGGCAGAAGAGCGGGCAGCCACTGGCAATGTTCATGTCGCTGACGGGCCGCTGGAAGGAAGAGGAGGCCACGTCAGGGCGGAAGGCATCAATGACGTGCTCCCGGTTATTCTGGTCCAGCAGCATCAGGGTAACCTACGGAGGAGACAGGAAACCCAGTGGTAGCCCTTCCAAATCTCTGGAGCCAAGCGACCCTCTTGGCCTCTGTATCTGCAAAAGGCTCAGAGGGTGCTGGGGGCCTTGGCCACTTGCTGTACAGGAAGGCATCTCCAGGCAGAAGACGGCTGCTCTGAGATTCTGCACCCACCTCGCCCCAAAGGAAGGCCGGCCCTGCCCGCAGCTCCAGAGAGAAGGACTCCCGCCAAGCTCTGCTCCTTCACTCAGCAGCTCACTCCTCCTGCGGGCCCAGCAGCCTCTTCTCCCCATTCCCCCCGTGTTACCTTCTGGTTGAAAGGCCATCGCAGCAGGGGGTCGTTGGGTCCTTTCATCACCACGAAGAAGAGAGACAAATGGGTGCCACGCCCAGTGCCGTCCCCGTTGAGGTAGATCCGCAGGCACATCTTGTAGCCGTACTTGCTGGTGTAGAAGGCTGGCCAAGCACAGCAGAAAGACAAAAGCAGAGGGCAGGTTGGGACGGAAGCTGTAGAGGACACTCACAAGGCGGCTTCGAGGCAAGGAGGCTCACCCTGCCCTGCTGCTGGTCCCTGGACCGCAGGCCCCCTTCTGAGCACCCAAGATCAGAGCCCGGATGTTCCCGGGGGCAGCTTTCCTGCGGGCCCACCTGGGGAGAAGATGGCCGGAGAGCGTCCCGTGACTGCCTCCTGCCGCTTCCTGGCGAAGTCGGTGATCTTCCAGATGAAGATGCCGTCGTAGGAGGCGGCCTCCATCTCCTGGATGGCGTGCTCCATCTCAGCCAGGGCCAGGTCCTTCAAGGCAATGCTCCTCTCCAGCTGCCGCACCTGGGTCAGAAAGGCACAGCTCAAGCTCTCTATGGCTTGGGAGGCTTCATTGCGTTCGCCACTTAGAGCCTCGGAAGGGGCCAGTCAAAAGCGATGCCAAGTGCTCTGTGGACCACTCCCTCGGTCGCAGGGGGACCCATGCCGCTGCCACCTCCTTCAGGCCTGGGTCTGCGTGTCCCCTCGCACAGAGCAGCCCCTTTCCCTTCTGCTTCTTCTCTGGACCAGGAAGCAAGACTGAGCTGCTGTGCACGCACGGTGCTTCCTGCCCGCCCTCTGCCATCCCTCCGGGGAGCCACAGAACCCCCCCCACCTTAGCGCTGAGGGCCTCGATCTTCTCCTGGTCGAGGCGATGCTGCCGGCTGGAGGCTTCGGCCACGAGCGACACCTTCTCCACCTCCCGGTTGAGGACACAGACGATGTTCTCGAAAGTGACCGTCTTCCTCTCCAGGGCCTCGCACTTCCCCAAGAGCTCCAGGGAGCTGGGGAGATCTCCCTCTGGGACCAGGGGCTTGCCCCCTGCCAGGGTGCAGCTGGCCTCCGCTGAGAGGCGGCCCAGCAGGGGCTCCAGCTTGCTGGATGCGGAGCCCAAGCTCAGCACGAAGCCCAGCAGCATGCAGAGGTGCTCCCCCAGGTAGCTCCTCTCGTGCTCGGGAAGCTTCTCATTCTCCATCTGCAGACCCCCAGAAGGAGCAGGAGAGGGTCAGGCCAGGCTGGGCCCAGGCAGCAAACATGCCAGTTCCTGCTCGTCTGCTCCCAGAAGGAGGGGAGGAAAAGGGTTCCCCTCAGAACGGGGCTGGCTGGGAATGGGAGAGGGAAGGGAAAGGGGTGCTGCTGCTGCTCTGCGGCTCAGGCCAAGGCTGATGTGGGCTGCCAGGGGCTGGGGAAGGGCACAGGGGCCGGATGCTGCCCCAGCAGTGTCAACTCTGGGGGTCTGATCAGGCTGTTGAGAGGGCCCCTCCGTTGCCAGCTGTGGACAGCGCGTCCTCCCCCAAACACCAGTCACAGGCCCTCCTTCCATGGGACATATTCTTTCTCCTCCCCACTCTGAAGCCTGGAGCAGTGCGAAGGGGGGACTGGCACTTACCAGCTGGGTGCAGCCGACTGGCTGGAACCTGCACGGGACTTTGCATTTGCTGCAGGTCTTGACGTGGTCCAGGAACTGCAGAAGAGCAGAGCAGCTTCAAAAGCGGGGAGAGGTGCACCCCTCACTCACCTCCAGCCACCACTTCTGTCCCATCTCGGCCCGGACTTCCTCAATCGCAAAGCGGAGAGTGTTGTGGGGGCCCACCCCAAAAGCACAGGCAGCAAATGGCCAGTTTGCCCTCTCTTCCATCCAGAGCCTGCCTCGGTATTGGGCAGCCCCCTTGCTTTTTCCACCAGTGGAGGAGGGCATTAGAATAGGCTGAGGAAAGCCATCCTGTCCCGCCACAGAAGACAGAAAGGCGCGTAGCTCAAGGGCACTTCTGAGGCAGTTGTGCAGAAGAAAGTGGGTCTGAACGGGTTGGGGTGTGCAAGCCTAGCGCCTCACGCTCTCCTGACCTTCTCCCGGGGGATCTTCTTCCTTCCACAGCCCTCGCAGGTGAGAGGAAATTTGGGGCACGCTGCGTCGTGGGCCTGGGAAAACAAAGCAGCAGAGACGGTGTGTTCAGCAGGTTAACCCGCGCTCTGCCCTGCCTCTCCTCTGATGACGTTGCTGGCCTCCTGCAGCTGGGGCGCTGGGACTACATGGGCTGGAAGGAAGGGAAAGCTGTAAACTGTGTGGGAAAGAGGGCGCTACAGCAATTAAAACCAAGGAAGTGCCTCTGCGCTTTGAGTCATAATGCTTCTGTGTGCTCCAAGAAGATGCTTGACTCCTCAGCGAACCTCTCTCTTAGCAATGCCCCCAGCAAGGTTGCTGTCCTGTCTCCCATCCTCGCAACCTCTGTGTGCATTCGCAGGACAGCAGCACGCCCAGTTTCCCCACCAGGCCTCGGAAGCCATCTCTGCAGGGTCCGTGCTTGGAATAATTCCAGGGTTGGGCAAGTCATAGTATGTGGCAGGGGGATGGGGACCACATCAGCCCAGGATCCTCCGGCCTCACTTTCGGATAGAGCACAGCCAGGCAGCTACCAAGGTCCAGGCGAGCGATAAGAGGCAGACCCTGGGTTTCGGCGGGGGGCAGCTCTGATCCATACCTGGCTTTCGGAGAAGTGGAAAAGGGCTTGGCAATATTTGCAGCTGAGGCTTCTCTCGGGGCACTCCTGGTTGGCGTGCTGCTCCTTCTCGCTCAGCCTGACCAGGCCCTGACACGCAGGACAGGCAACCAGCATGGCCGGGCAGTTCCCCTCGTGGCAGCTCTGCAGCGAAAGGAACCGGCAGGCGTCAGCGAGGAGGCGAGAGAAAGGGACTCGCGACCATAGGCCCTCCAGAGCAGCTTGGAAAAGCAGAAGGCCCTTTTACCAAGGGACGTGGCTGGGTCTGAAGGGAGCGCTGCTGAGCGCAGGCCTGAAACTCCCTCCCACAGGGGAACCTTTTGACTCTCTGCACCCAAAGAATGCCTGAAATTGGTGGCTGGTTTTAGAGAGGATCCGTTCTAGACCACAGAGCTTGTTCTTGCTGGGTCTGACTTATTTTCCGATTATCTCTGCAACTTTTTAAATGCATTGCTAGCTTTTGCGTTTACTTTGCTAAAATCAACATACTGGGAGGGAGGCAGGGAGGGAGGCCAGGGGTTAGGCATCCCCATCGCTCTGCTCCAGCCGGGACGAGGACAGAAATCCTACAGATTCTTGGGGCTGGAGTATGCATGCTCTTCTGTTGGGAGTGAGTCACTCTGTTGTGAAAGGCCGTGTTTGCCAAGGCACACAGTCCTCTGGCTGGCCTCCACTTTATTAAGGGGGGAGAAGAAAAGAGAGCACCATCACAAAGCGCAGGGGCCAAACTGGAGGGGTCGGGCTGCCTGCCTCGCTGGGATTTTCCAGCTGTCCTGGAAGCCAACTGCCACCCAATTTCCAGAGGCCTGGAACCAGAATGGAGGCTTCTCTCCAAGCCGAAGGTTCCAATCCGGGCCTTGGGGCTTCTCAGTCAAAAGAGTCAGATCCTGGGATGGCAATTCTCAGAGAGCTAACTACATCAAGCCAAGCCAGAAAGCGGCGTGTTTGTTAGTACAGATGCAGCTGTGGCTCTTCAGGACACATCTGGAAGCACTCCATGGCCACCAGGGTGCCTTGTGGGTTTTTCAAAGGGCTAAGTAGGGTAAAGCAGGGAAGCACTTTCGCTTTCCAGAGGCAAGCTGCTGCCGCCCCACCCAAAGAGAAAGTAAAACCAGCGAGAGCCAGAAGGCAGCTGGCAGTCGAGGGGGGCCGGCTTCTCTGCCCTGGTGTCGGATGACAGGGAGGAAAAGCTGCGCGAGGGTCCAGCGCCAGACCCAGAGCAGGGCTGGTGTTTTCTTGGCACCACTGGCAGGCCCCCTTCCTCTCGGGTTGAATAACAAGCAAGTATTTTAGGGACTTTCCAGAGGGGTGTCATTGCTCAGGCTTCCGCCAGGGACTTTCCAAGCTGGAAGCACTGACGCTCTGAGCATGCAGCCCCAGCTGCAGACAGTCTGGCTCTCCTCGACATCAGCCAGAGCAGGGCAGGCAGGCAGCCTGCTCACCCAGCCAGTCGAGGCAGAACTGCTCTCCGGTTCTCCGTGGGAAGGGGGGTTGCAGAAGACTTTGCCCATCTACAGAGCCCTACGAGCCCCGCGCTAAGAGGACCACCCTGTGGCCAAGGGGCCTCTGCCAGGCCAGCCCGTTCTTTAGGGGAGAGATGCTGGGGTTCCAATCCTTGCGTCTTCAAACCCCGGGCCCTTCCCCCCTCAACAGAACGTGGCCTCTGAGCCAGAACCTGAAGAACCCGTCCCAGGACCTTCCATCTGCAAAGCAGGAGGTTCTTCTCTCTCCTGCAAAGAGCACGGTAGAGCCAGAGCTGCCTGCTCTCTCTTGGCTTCTGAGAGATGAAGCCTCCATGCAGAATTTGGAACTGAGTACTGAGGGAGCAGGTCACTGGATGTATGGTGGAAGAAAGAAATGCCCGTGTTTGGGAGGACAAGCAGCAAACACAGATGTCCCATGAAAAGCACTTTCTGGCCTAAAACAGAGCACAGGCCACCCAAGAGAAGCCTCTGGGTACCCCAGAACAAGGTGGTCCCATGGAGGAGGGGGACTGTGCCCCTGGGTAGCCTCTGTGCCCACAGCCCCACGTTCAGCAATGACGAAAGCCCCCAAGCTGCTGGGGGTCCGTGAGGCTCCAGACAATGAAGGACGCCAATTCCCAGCACTTTTCCATTTAGCCTCCTACTCAGAGAGAGGAAGAACTGGTTAAGGGTCCCTCTGATCTTTACCTCATATTCTTTGATTGTCCCTTTCCACACGCAACCCTTGTTGGGACAGATGGCCGGGAGACTCTCCACTTCCCGCCGAGCTGCGTTGTCTGGGAAAGCCTCCAAGGGCAAAAAGGGAAGGATTAAGCAACAGAGATGCTGAGAAGGTGAAGAAAATGTCTGGCCAGCCAATTTAGTGGCGGCAGCAGCTTGACAGGGTGGGGGTGGGATGAGAAAATGGGAGCAACCTAACTATTTTGGCACAATATGTGTGTGTGTGTGGGGGGGGAGAGAGATTGGTCACAGAAGTCCTTTGAATGTCCAAACCAGCAAGCAAGCCCAACTGGAAAGCTTTTCTGGGAGGGGGGTGCAAGGCAGGGGACCCCCAACTAACTCTTAAGTGCTGCTCTGAACTCACTTCTCTGCCACTCCTACTGCAGGCAGAGGGAGAAGCAGGCCTTGCTCTCTTGACCTCCCTTCTTCACGCCTGTCCCAGTGGAGTCAGTCTGAGTTGCTGGGAAGCAAAGTTCTGACAAGGCACAGCTTGGCACGAGCGGCAGCTCGGGATGCAAAGAATTTGGGCTGAGCTGCCCCAAAGGGAAGCCTCCAGAACATAAACAGAGGAGGCGGAACCCCCATCTCTGGGGCAATGCTAGGTCTGGTTTCCTGTTTCAAGAAGGGGGCCAGACTCCAAAAGCTTTCTCCCTGCCTGGCGATCCCTTCGCCTTCACTTCAAGGTGCCTGTCTCACGGGGGGCACCAACCGAGCCCCTACGCTCTCAGGGGTGCTTGGGAAGAACAGCGGGACAAACGTCTGCTCACGTCAGAGACTCCAGCAGAGCCTGCACTTACCACCCCCGTTTCCAAGATCGACGCACCTTCTTCATACAACCCCTCTTGAATGCAGGCTGCGCACTTCTGGGGCCCCAAGCTGGCGGGGAAGAGGAAGACTGTGAGAACAACCCAGAGAGCCTCAGGTGACCCCCCAAGTCACCTGGGCAGACATTTCCCCAGCAACCTCAAAAAGGAACAGAGCTGCATTTTGCTCTGACATCGTTCAATGGGTCTCTGAGCATGTGCAGTTGGTCTTGTTTGGCTCAAACTGATTGAAGAGCTGTTGGCCTGGCTGCCTTCGCAAGGGGAAATTGCTTCCAGGTCCCCAGGTGGGAGTTGTTTATAGGCTGGAAGAACCGCCCTTCCTTTTCAGCCGTGTCGCTCTGACTGATCCTGGGCTGTGCACCTGATGCCCTCCAGATTGCAGCTCCCAAAGCAACAGGAATAATCCCCAAAAACTAGCAGGCGCCAGATCGCCTATCCGGGGGTAATCAAGCAGCTGCTCACGTCTTTGCTCCCTGGCTGACCTGCTTGGTTCCTGCCTTTCTCCAGAGGGAGGGAGATGGGGAGTTAATGAAAAAGGCATATCGGCTTCTTTCTTGGGTGAGAACTTGGTCTGGAACTAAGCAGGTGAACCTCACATTTGGGGAGATCCCTGAGAGGTCTTTCCCACCTGAAAAACGTCGAGAGCCGGGGCCCAAGCGGGAAGGGACTGCCCTGCCGGCCTCCTTCATGCAAGCCATCGGCAAAGTGAGGAATCTGTTCCCCTCAGGCTCTCGGCAAGGCGCGAGGCATTCCGGGGAACGATCTTTACAAACACAAAGCTGGCTCCTCAGGGAAAAGCGCTTGAAATCCA